TTTTTTTTTTTTTTTTTTTTTTTTTTGGGGGGGGGGGGGAGGTTACACAAGAATGTCACACTGGCCGAGTACAGGTGAGATACACTCACAGCTGTGTATTCTTGTATTTGAGAAAATGTCTGCTAAATGTGAAAAGCACCATGTAAAACTTAAATTTGTGATGATGATGATGATGATGATGGGATCCAAAATGCAGAATAGACAGAGGCAGGAAGTAGATGATGCATATTTAATTTTAAATATTAGAAAACAAAACAAAACAGGGAACCAAGGCAAGAACAAAACGGAGACTGTGTAACATTAAGGTAACATGAAAATCCAGCAAAGAGTGAATTAAATCAACATAAAAATATGATTTTTGGAACTATGGACCAGGGCTAATTGCTAACTGAACGGATTTCTGAGGGGAGAGCAGAAGGCAGGCTGAGGGGGTGAGAGAAAGATGGCAGAGGGGAGAAAGGATGAGCAAATACCAACAGAAAAGCTGGGAAAACATCAATCTAATCGTGATAAAGAATAGCAAAACACAAGAAGTAAATAAGAAATACAATCTAACTAAAAGACCTGAGAACTGATCTAAGGTAAAAGAGAAACAAGACTGATCTAATCAGAACAAAGAACAGATGACCAAAACTATATTCCCAGAAAAAAACAAACAAATCATGACAGCATAAGTTACACACCTGTAACAGGTGCAAAATCATCCGATCAGGAAAACCATGTCTCAGATATTTTCACATCTACCTTGAAGACGCTGCTTGATTGTGAAATTGTGTTTCAGAGTAAATTCCAGCCAAAGCTGAATGATACCCCTGAGCTGCAGTTTCTTTTTAATAACAGTAAATCCAATACAAAAAACTATGGTTTTATTGGAGTAATGCTGTGTAGAGAAGCTTAGGAGTTTGTCCCCCAGTGCACACATCTCTTTATAGCTCTGTAAGAGGATGCCCCTAAACTACCACCAGTTTCTTAGATAACACCATAAGGGAATGCGCAAAACAAGAGCACGATGTAGGGGTTGAACCTTTTGGCTAAAGCTGGGGTTGCCATGTTCATCCCATATATTTCTATGTGAGTGATACATGCTTGAGACATTTATGCTCTGTTTGTATTCAGATAGATTTGTGGTCAGATGGATGCATAGTTCGAGGTTCATCTTACCAATGTGGAAATATACACGTCTTGTCTAGAGGTCTTTGATAGTCTTCCTTCAAATGTAAGAGCTCAAACAGTTTGCCGTCGAAGCAGAGCCAGATGTTCTGGTACTTCCAGCTCTTTGGTTGGAAGTAATGTCCATCCATCGTTGTACAGTCAACTCAACTTTAAGATTTATCAAAGCACACTCGAGGAAGATGCACAAAAGACATGTGCATCTTCCTCGTGGGTGTACAGTCATGCTGAAAGTTTATTTCAATCTTTAAATAATTCAGCCTGTTATCCAAAGGATAAACAGTGGATGGAGAGGTCTACTTGTTCCCTTACTTTAGCTCTGTTTCCAGCAACACGTTGCATTCTCATTCCGCCTGCAGTCAACAATCTGCGTACCATTCTCTGTAAATCATCAACGTTTTTACTTCTCTGCTTGGAAATAAGAAAACTAAACACGGCAGCACATGGAACAAAAATAGAAGATTTTCCTGGACCAAGCCACTTGAATGTTTGTGCATGAGAATTTAAAGTGAAAGAAAAGCAGGAGAACTAAAAAGAAAACAACAGATCATGACCATTTTAACAGACCCATACATATCAGAAGTAAGCCTTCACTGACACGCTCTTTAATCTAAGACCAGAGGAACAGTTTAAGAGAAGTGAAAATAAGTTATCTCACATTCCCTTGTTCCCACTTACCCTTTTCCTTTCTGCTCATTTTGTATATTTCTGCATTTTTTAGCATTCATTTTTTTCCCTCTCCCTCCCCTTTCTCATTTTCTAATCCTTTCAGTTTCCCTTCATTACTTTTTTTAACCTCATATAATGTTTCTGACTTCAGTACTCATTCTCCTCTTGCATCTGTTCTTTTCAACCAACTATTTTGTTCCAAATTTGTCTTGGATTCATTTTAAATCTCTTGTTGTCCAACTAGGGGAAAGGCGTTTCCAAATCTGTGTCCCTGAACTGTGGCCCATGCCTGGACTTACCTGTTGGCCTAAAGGCACTGAGCCACAGCGACTCGTACACTTGGGCTGTGGAGAACCGAAAGTCTTTTCAGAAGGATGGCAGCATCTCCTCCTTTGGTTCACATGAAATATCCTTCTCAGATATCTACCCAGACAACTTTTCTCACAAGGAATCCCAGGTATGTAAAACTACCTGTAATAAAGGTGAAAGGCGCTTTTCTTTGACAGGGACCAATTTATTTTTAACACCTTCTCCAAATAATTTCTTTTTTAAGCACACTACCATATGAAATGTCACATTCTACATTCTAGTACTATTCCTTTGATGATTAAAGTCATGTGTGGTTGTCTTATCATCAGACAATGGTTTCATTAGGTCATATGAAGCTGTCACTCACACATGGGGCTCATTGTTTTCAGTACTGCACTCCTCCTCGTATTTCCCGCACCATGTCGATGGGTAGGAACCTTTCTGCTATTGCACATGAGGTACAGTGAACATTACATGGGAGGTTTTACTGTAAATCTGCTGAAATCTGTATGAGGATCGTCTTCCTAATTTGTTTTGGTTTCTTCTTCCCTCCGACTGGTCAGAGGCGTCACGTTGAGATAATAGAGCTGATCAATGATGGGAAAGGACTTGGTTTTGGCATCGTAGGAGGACACAGCACAGGAGTCATGGTCAAGACAATCCTACCTGGAGGAGCAGCAGGGAGGGTAAATCCGTTAGTCAATTGTAAAACCACTTAAATGGGACAACCAAGGCTAGCTTAAGGGAGAAAACCAAAAGAGAGTGGCTTTCTTCATGCATCAGCAAAAAACAAAACAAAACAAAACTGTGCACTGTTCTAAAAACTGTTGTGCTTTGTGTATAATCTCTGTAAAAATGTGTGTTTATTTGTTCAAATGATGTTTTGCAGGACAGTCGCCTGCGCAGCGGAGATCAGATTCTGCATATTGGAGATACAGACTTGGCAGGCATGAGCAGTGAACAAGTTGCACAGGTACTCAATCTTCAGAACCAGCTAAGTTATATTTACCATGCCTTACAAAAGTATTCATACATACCACTGATTTTTTTTTTTGTTTTGTTTTCACTGTATGTCAAAACTATGTATGTTGCTGGAATTCTATGGGATAGACTAAATGCCCCCCACATACTCTGACATACTTTGCTCATGGAGGTCCACACATACCGCAGACCCTAACGTAACAGGTCATTAGTCAGAGAAGCTAGAAAGAGAGAAAGGCACTCGACTAAGAAAGCCATAATCATTCCTGCTTAAAGTGGCACAAATTATCTACGGAACAAAGAAAATGCGTGGAAAAAAGGTAGTTTGCTTAAATGAGAACAAAACTGTAACTTTTTTGCCAAGCACTGCATATCACCCTAAATGCACCCTGGTGGCAGAACACTTGAGAACCGGGGTCAACGTTGACATTCCAGCAACACAATGACCCCAAACAGTCAGGGCTATAAAGAAATGGTTCTAATTCCAACTGAGAATGTGTGTCAAGACTAGACAGCAGCTGTTCACAGACACTAACTGAGCTTAAGTTGCTTTGCAAAAAAAAAAAAAGGGCAAAGATTAAAGAGTCTATATGACCAAAGCTGGAGAGATATTAGAGTCACTTCTGAGATTGCAACCAAAGGTGGTCCCACAAGGCTTCATGGTGGTGAACTTAGAAGCGTTGTTAACTTTTCTACAAGGAGGTCTTTCTGTATAGAATTTGAATTCTCTCCAGGTACTCTGGCTTCTACCCACTCTCCAGAAACTTTAGCGATAGGTTGATTTGTCTCATTATATTGGCCTTAGGAGTAAAACCTTTTGACAGTTATTTCTATAACATATCATCAAAATGTAAAAAAAATAATTCAAGTGATAAGAAGACTTTGGTTAAGTGGTATTTCCACTGAACCAAGTGTTTGTCTTCAAAGTTCCTGTCTATTAAGATACCACCTTGTTTTTGCGTGCTAGTTTAACCCAGCTACATTCTTTCTCTTTGTTTCTTTGAAACTTTAACTATTCAGGAAAATCTGGCTTTTACCAGAATCCTTCTCTGTTTTATCTAAACATGCTTACTCATATGCCCATTTTCACCTGTTCACACAAACCACCACTTTGCCCAGGTGCTGCGAAATGCTGGCAGCAGGGTGAAACTTCTCATTGCCAGGGATGTTACCAAACCCAATTACCTCTCCTCCCCTGCTCTGAATCAGGACACTTTGGACGACAAGGTTTGTGTGTTTGCCGTGTACCTTTGTTCATCTTTGTAAGCGATGTAATATTAAATTCTTATCATTTTTCTCCTTTCTCTCCTGTTTCCAGCCCAGTGGCTTGAATGATGACTATGAGTTCAGTGTCCAGTTCACTAAAAATAGCCGGGGCCTGGGATTTTCCATCTCAAGCTACGTAGGAGACCTGAACTCAGGTATTGTAGGTGAAGTGTACCAGAATTTAATCATACCTTTCGTATTAGTTTAATCAGTATGCCTTTGGTTGTGTTTCATTCAGTCTACAGTGCCGGTGTGATGGTGAAGAGTATAGTAAAGGGCAGTTCTGCAGATCAAGATGGACAGATGCGGGTTGGAGACATTATCCTTTCTGTAAGTTTTCTAAAAACAGCAGATGTTTTTTTGGGGTTGTTTTTTTGTGACATTACATTTAAAAAACACTTGTTTATGTGACTTAACTCCTATTCCCACCTTTAGTTGTTTTTTTTTTCTTTTGCAGTTTATGTCAGACAGTTTTCCAGAGTGGAATGATTGTACAACAATTAACTTGCTACATTTAGATAATGTCTCTTAGCATATGAAGAGAAACCACCAACAAACAAGGCCTGCCACAGCTGTGGCTGGATATTTAACTACTCCTTTAAAACACAAATGCTGGCATTCCTTTTGGTTTCTAAATCAGTTTGATGCTGGTTGAAACCAGTTTGAACACTCAAATGTGCCCAAATTGCAACCATATGACTAAAACTGCACCCGCTCAGAAGAAAGGAATTTGGTTAGTATGTTCGGAATAACCTAACATAAGAGAATAAAGTAGAAGATGGTCAAATAGCAGTAGTGGCCAGAGTATAACCAGCTTTATAGGAACATAGTTTGAGTTGATGCAGACATGTTAAAGAATGACAGAAATGTGCAAACGGTTATATTGGAAGCCAAGTGTCTTATTGAGCAATGTTTTATTCTGAAGTGAGATAGATTGAGCTTTTTACCAACAATGGTAGGAGTCAATGTGAGTTTCCTAAGTCTTAGAACATGAAACCAACTAGAATAGTGCTGTAACATCTTGCTTAGGGTCTCTTTCACTCCCTGTGGCTCTGATGTATTGCAGAAATTGAACAATAGAACGAAGAATAAAGTCCACATTTAAATCCTTCAACATTCACAGCTACACAGTCGAAACTTGGACATAGTTTGTTGTTCCAGTTCATCCAAAAAACATTTTAAAATTCTATTAAAAAATTTAAGTTTCAAACTGTGCTGGGCTCATGCCTAGAAACCAACCAACTTCAGATTATAAAGTAGACAAACATACGGCCAGATTAATGCACAGACTTTGTTGACATCGATATTTACGGCTCTGCAGACGATGAGTGTGAGACCACCATTCATTTCTGTCCATAATTGTATATTTAATTTCCTCATTTCATCCCCCAGGTGGATGGTGTGAGCCTTCAGGGCTGCAGTGAACAGCGAGCCATGGAGGTGCTCAGGAGGACTGGTCCTGTTGTCAGGCTGAGGTTGCTGAGAAAGGCCGTCTGCCTTCGTCACATCTTGCTCCCAGTTTCTCCTCTGCAGCCCCTCAGACACTCCCACAGCCTCCATGAAGGCAGCCCTTACAAATCAGGCCTCAACGAGATTCAGGAGACAGGTGCTTCGCGCTGATAAAAACAGACAGCATATCTATTCCTGAGCAAACAAAAATGCCGAGGTTTTTATAGCTATCAACCGGTGCAGCTTCCCCCGCTGAGGAATGCTGTGATTGAGATTTTCTGCTATCAGTTTCGACTCAGACTGAAGTCTAATTTTGGTGCTTCTTTGAGCAGCTGATGAACTTTTGTACTCTGTGCATGAAAAGGAAAAGATATTTTCTAATACAAGCGTGCTTGTTGTGGGCTCAAAACGTGCTCCTCCGTCTCCCAGGAATCAGCTCTCTACGTGAAATCTCCCGGCGAGCGGCATATGCCAGCAGACGACCCCGACACGATCCCAGAGATGGTAAGTTCCCGTTTCCGCAGCTCGCAGCAACTCGGAAACCACTTCACAGGACTCGGTCTGCCGCTCTGCCTTGGATCACGAAACGGCAATGCGCCATGAACCATGCTCTTTGATGGGACTCTATTTATAGTTTTGTGCAATCATGTGTTTATCCAGCTCATTCAGCTCATTCCAGATGATTTGTCTCTCACTCTGCCTGCATACATTGCTTTATTTAGACAGAAGAAATTTGGGGCCTGATTAGAGACTGCAGACAAATAGGCCGTGATTGCTGTTAGGCTTTAATAGATGAATCAGAAAGCAAAACTTTGTCAGGAAATCACAAGATGTTAGATGTGAATATGCATGCCTTCTTGCCTCCGTTGTGAGTGTGTATAGCCCTCACAACTGTCTAAGCAGTTGTGTGTTCACTCTCTTCTTTGCCTCAAGGAGAATTATGTTGTCTTCTCTCTCTATAATAGATCCAAGGTGATTTTTATATAGGACCTCATTCTTTATTGATTTGACTGTGTGGGACTTCAAAACAATATGTGTATATATAGGAGACTTTATGGATTTGTGTGTATCATGAAGATGTGTTTTTTTTGTGCTCATTTCAAAGGTGTGAAACTGACTCCAGAGGAAGAGGAAAACCTGAGGAAGAGGTGGCAGGATGCCGTTGGACACCGATTTGAAGTGACTGTATGTCTCCCCTTATTAAATATAAATCCTAATTCCAACATGCATTAAAAAAATATAGACTTGTATAGTAGTATTACATGCATGTAACTGCTTAATCTTTTATGATCTTCCACATCCCAATGCATCTTTTACCACCTAAGATTTTCTTTTCCCCTCTGTTTTTCTTTCACCCGCTTTGTAGGTCTGCCAGCTGGAGAGGTTCAGTGAAACAAGTGGTCTAGGTATCAGTCTGGAGGCTCGGGCTGGACATCACTACCTGTGCTCCATCTTACCAGAGGGGCCTGTAGGTCAATGTGGCAAAATCTTTGCTGGAGACGAGATAATGGAAGTAAGTCTGATACCGTTACCCGTTTCAGTCTCGGTTCAGTTGTTTGCCGTCTACTCTTCCGATGAAGGCGCAACATCAGACAGACAGGAGAAACGTATGGATCCCTCTGTAAAGCTCCTATTGCCCTTTGACCTTTTCCTACAACCACAAAGTCGAATGATCATTAATTGTGGTCGTGACGGACCCAAATGCAAGCATGAGACGGGCAAGTCCATGTTGAAACAGTGATTTGCTGAAGTAAAGGATGAAATTACACACAGCCGTAACCACTGGAGCAGAGAGCAAGGCTCAGAACATCAAAGGCAGGAACTAACAGACCATGTTGGGTATTTAAACTGGGGTGGTGATTATTAAACAAGTAGCATGTGGTTGATTGGAAACAACGAGCGACTGAGGGGGAAACAAGACAGCCTAAACTGAAGAGATTATTTGGAGAATGACACTCAGTGATTACACAGGGAATCAGGAAGCTAATTAAACAGCAAAAAAACTCTAAACATAACATAAGCATCAGGATAACAATGAGAGAACACCAGACAATGGGAAACAAAGAAGGTTGGAGGAAAAGAAAAAATGTGACCGGCAAAACGAGACGGTTCCGGACATTTTAATGAGCAGTAAAGAGTCCACCTGGACGTAATTTAATCTCAGCATAAATCCAGCTGTTTTAGTGAAGGCTGTAGAGGTTTGTTATAGAACGTTATTGAACAAGGACAGCAGACGGGTCAGGAATGAAGTCGTGGAGACGTTTTAAGGCAGGATTAGAACATAAAAGAAGTTATAAAGTTTACAGCACAACTGCAAACCTACCAGGACGTCATGGTCCACCGAAATAGGCATTAATCAGAGGAGCAGCCAACGGACCCATGAAAACTTGGGGGAGCTGCAGAGACCCACAACCCAGATGGGGAAACTCTGTCGCCACCTCAACTGTTACTCCTGCGCTCCTCAAATTTGCTCTACACGAAAGCGTGGCAAGGTTATTGCTGAAAGAAAGCCACAGTAAGTTGTATTTGCAAGTCACCACAAGCCATTTACAGGTATGTGGTTAGGCAAACATGTGGAAGGAGATGCTCCAGTTAGATGAGACCAAAATGGACGTTTTTAGCTGTCATGTACTGGCAGCTGTAGTAAAAGTGAAAGATGTTGTACAAAGTATTGACAAGGGAGTTGAATACAAAAATGTTCCACACTTTGTTTTTTTTTGTTAATATTAACAATAACAACAATTATAAATCGTGAATCATTTCCTTGCGATTCTAGGTAAATGGAGTCCCCCTCATTGGACAGACACACAAAGAGGTGGTCAGTGTTCTGAAAGAACTGCCAGTGCAAGTATACCTCGTGTGCTGCCGCATTGTCCCCCCTTCAGTTCATGACAGTGATGAAGAAACAAATGATGATGTCTGTCTGACTCTCAAGGAGCTGCTGGCTGAGTTCAATGACAAGGTGAGAGGGTAATCCAGTGAAACATGTCACTTTTTAAAGAAAAAAAAAAAACATATGTGCTTTACTTCAGTTTAATGCATTTGCACAAATCTCTTCTTCTGTCTCCATTTTCCCTCTCTCGCTCTTGTCTCGTTGTCTCAGCTGGATCACGGCTGTGTCATACCCTGTCCTACAGCTGAGGACATTACGAAGCGTGGCGTGCCCCCCATGTCACCTCCTCTGGCCATGTGGGAGAAAGAGGCTCAAATTGTCGAGCTGGAAAAAGGCGAGTCGGGACTTGGCTTCAGCATCCTGGACTACCAGGTCAGGAATTACAAACAGAGCCAATTAAAATTGGAGATGGAGAAAGGGAGGACATGTGCACACTTGTACTTCATAGGATGAAGTTATCATTGTCTTGACTTTACTGCTTCTGATTTGCATTTTTTTTTCTTATTTGGAAATGTTTGACTTGTTGGCTTTTGTTGTTATAATAAACCTTCAGATTGCACTATTTCCCTAAGCTTGTCCCTCATTTTATTTAAAAATACTAAATTGATAATGTGTATTTCAAGCAAAAATGTTCTATTCAATCTCCTGCTTAACTTTAGGATCCAGAGGATGCCTCCAAAACAGTTCTGATAATCCGGTCACTGGTTCCTGGAGGTGTAGCAGATCAAGATGGCCGCCTGCTGCCTGGTGACCGACTAATGTTTGTTAATGAAACTGACCTGGAGGGTTCCAGCCTGGATTATGCTGTGCATGTGCTGAAGTCTACTGAGTATGGGCTTGTTCAAATTGGCGTTGCTAAACCACTGCCGGTGAGTGAGGTTAAAAAAAATAAAATAAAATAAAAATTACCTTTTTATTTTATTTAATTTTTTGATACATTGCAGGATTCCCCCTGGAACACATACTTGAATTGGAAGATTATTTAATATTTATTTAATTAATAATTAAAAAGTTTGTAAAGCATGACTCAATATTTAGTTGACACATAAGGAAATCTTATAGATAGTTTGGAGTAAATGCCTTTAACAAATGGAAGCGACTTGTCATGGTTTGCTTCAACCTTATTTGATGTCCGGCTCTTTATTTAAGCAGCAAAATTATAGCAAGCTGTGATTACATCATTGGCTTTTTGGCAACCATTTAATTTCTGCACTTTAGCTCATTGTTTTTCCTCACACAAAGTTAAACTTATCTTTCTCACAAACAAGACAATAGCAAGCAGCCTGATCACTATGGCCCTCTTCCTGGCATCTTCTTAAAAAGTTTTTAAGTCATAAGAATGTTGAGGTAGAAAACTGAATGCCTTCTATGCTTGTCAGTACTGCATCGTTAGAATGAAGTTAAGGCAACGCCATGTTGTTTTTTGCCTGAAGATGAGGAGCTGCAATTTAAAATACTGTAATGATGTATTATCACCCTTTGACATACTATGTATATATAGCTAACAAATAGAAATAATTCAAGATGTTTCCTCTTCTTCAAGACTTTTTTCATATCCGTAATAGCCATAAAAAAACGCATATATACACAAAAATAGATTACTTAGATGAATTATTCCCCCCAAAAAGTATTGTTTCTTCTTTTTTGTTTTGTACTGTGGCTTAGTAACAAGGAACAGAATCCGGTTACAGGCCTTTTGAATTTTTTATGTGGTTGGAAGATGAACACGGCCACAATACAGATGGAGAGAGTAGGGGAGAGCAGTCCAGACCGTCTAATTTACAGTCACCTTTTCTGGCCTGTTTGCTTTACTGGGAATCTACAATTCATTCACTTCTGAGGCAGGGAGACCTTCTTTTTGTTTTTTTCCAGGCTCCCGTTTTTCAATCTTTCATTTGTGTATGTGTGCTTCTGAGTTATTTTTTATTTTTTTTCTGAATGAGCTAAACCTAAAAGTTGGATTATTTTATTCTCAGCTGGAACTGTGTGGTGGCTTGACACCCATAGCGGAGCGAAGCGCGCGGCCTTCGACCGATGACACTGACAGCCACACTCAGGTCAGCCTGCTAGCTGAGGCAGCTGAGGCCAATTTCAACGGCACAACTTGGAACGCCGAGGACCACAGCTTGAGCCAGCCGTGTTACACGGTAAGTCACGCAAAGCCATCTATCGGTCTGTCTGTCTGTTGCCTGAACACTAGCTGGAGATGTTGCAAAAATGTCTAAAAATGCCTGTTCTAAAGTTTATACTGCATAATTTGTTTTCTAAGCTTCGGCAGCCACAATCATTTGTTCATAATTCATGCCCAATCACTTTTTTTTAGAATTCAATAAATTGGATTTTACTGCAGGCTTTACACTTAGTTAGAAACGTATTTTGCAGTTTTTCTCAAGCGCTTTTGGTACATTTCTCACATCAGTCTTAACATTTGCAGAACAGCTGGTGCATCTCTCAAAACAATTAGTACACACTGCAAAACCTGATGGATAACCTGCGCAGGCGTGCCACTTGCTCAAAATGGATGACATTTTTCTCTAAAGCAAGACAGCGTTGGCGAAATGAAAAGTCTTGATACCATGCTTAGATGGTCATGGCTTGAAGGTGTTTTCATAATGACAGTTGGCTCTGTTTTTTTTTTTTTTTTCCCCAGTGCATCTGATCTTGGTAATGCTACCTGAAAATGCTCAAGACAGCGCTATGCACTAGCTGCACAACCATTTGAAATCCACAATTACACTTTTTCACTTAGCTGTGGGGAAATAACACTCAATGACTGCAGTGCAGCGTAGATTGTTTGGTGTGAATTGTTTTCCAATATACTCACCTGTTATCCTGATAAAATGTTTAGAGTGATTTTCCCTACATTTGGCTGCAGCAGCAATTTTAGCCCTGATTTCATCAGGAATGTGCCTATGTGTTTGGTCTTTATGTCTCCTTCCCTACAATCCCAGTATCCTCACCTCTCCTTCGAGTTGCTTGCCTTCCATTTCTGTGTCACAGCATTGCTGAAATGCTGCAATGTCCTGTTCATGTGTGCTTTGCCTATTGAGGGTTCATGGGATTCAGCTCTGAGTGACTGTGGAGAAGTGGCTTATCAGTGGTTGCAACGAATGCTTCGCACACTTCTCCTTGTCAGTGGGAGCTGAGGTTCAGTGGAGAGAAATCGTTCAGTTCGGGAGACGTTTTCAGGAAAGAACGAGGATGAAACGCACAGAATTAACTTGACAGATTTTGACAACCGTTTCGACATTTTTGTTTGTTATGACAGAAACAATACGTTTTATGGGGAATGGCAATTCAGGATTCATAAGAATAATTGATTATGACAGACATAAGTAAATGAGGATGTCCAGAAGCAGCTGAGAATTGCATGGAAAGAACTGATTAAAAGTGCAGAAGCATTGCCGTTTTGTTTTTAGAATGAACAAGAAACTGCCTCTGTGTTGTGCACAGATGACTACGTTACTAGAATTGTACTAATGAGCAGACAAATCCACCGCAGTGTCGGAATAGAACCGCAAGTAACGCCACAGAATCATTCAGAGCTCTTCATTATCATGCAAACCTGAGATACTGTGGGTAGCCATTTTAGCTCCTCTAAAGGTTACCATGTCTGTCTCTGTACTCCTCATTCCTTTCCTACCATGTGGAGATCACTGACTGCTGTATCGGTGTCACAGCGTCAGGTATAGAGAAAGTGCTCGGTGTCAAAGGCTTTAATTGTGGCCTTGGCTTGATCCTATTCAGCCAAGCTTTTGTAGTTGCTGTTGCTTAATTGCCAACAATTTCCTGTCTGTGAAAAGGGGCTTACTGCTCTTCCACAAGGGCATGAAGGTCTAGATCAATGCCTCTGACACAGTGTTCTCATCAAAGTCAGTCTGGCTACAAAACAAGATTCTGAACTTTTTTTTTTTTTGCTTTTGCTTACTATAAGACTTAAAAGATCTGTGCTTTGCCCTTTTTTTCTTTTTGAAGTGCGCGCAGAGATGTGACAAGGCTACCTTTGTCTATGTTTTTCATTTTTTTGTCTTTACTCCAACAGCCTTCACTGTAGTAATGCTTGTCAACCTTCGGAGAGAAAGTATTCTTGAGGGGGCACACAGAGCAAACGCAGAATAAAAAGAGTTTGGAGAAAGTGTTCATAGAAGTTTGTGTTTCTGAAGGAGCATGTTGTTTTGAAAAGCCAAGGGACAAATTTGGAAACTTCATTTAAAACATGTGACATGTTTTAGAGCAGTAGAGTTATGCAAACAACACACAATGTTTAAAATGAAAAGGATTTGCTCAGTTTTGTGCCCAGTGACCCAGCTACCAACAGTTCACACTGACTGCAGTATATTCCTCAGCATTTCATATGTTCACACTCTGTTTGCCACATGTTTGCAGATAGACAGGGGTGCAACTTCATTCAACTCTTGACATAATATCTCGTTCAGGAGAGGTGATTTTAGGACTTGGGAAAGAAAATGTAAAATCCCCCTTTTTAATGAACTGCTTTACAAATACTGTAACGATTTCACAAATGATGAAGCTTTTCTTAATGAATCTGTTCTAAATGATACAAGGGTTGAATAATTTTGATTTGCTTATCCGAGTCTTAACTAATCTTTGTTTTGGTGGAAAGTCAATTAGCTCTCTAGTTTACAACCTAATGCTTGGTGGGATATTTTTATGTTAGAGAAAAAGACTCTATCAAGCTTGATTGCTCATTACTTTCTGACCTTTGCTGGGCTGGTCATGTATAATGTTGGCTTTGCAAACTAATGCAAGGGAGATAAAAAAAAAACAAAAAAAAAAAAAAAAAAAAAAAAAAACCCCAAGGGCGAAATTCTTCTAAAATAAAACCAAAACCCTTTTTTCACCCCACCCCCTCAACTTTAA